TAATTCAGTTCAGTTGTATAAAAGCAGGGAAAAAAAACTGAAACATGTAGGAAAGAGGGCCCTGAGGACCAGGGTTAAGAAACCCTGGTTTAGGGGACATGGTCCCAGCTGCGTCCATGGTCTGAGTCTGCTGTGTCCTCCCATCTCATCTCTCCTCTTCTTTAGATTCAACCCTCTGAAGGCGCTGCAGCCCAAACGCCGCTTGCAGCAAATACTGGCCTCCTCGCCCGTGCCGGCGGCTTCCAAGCCGGCATCGGGATCGGGGACGAGTGCGGTTGCGGCTTCTGCCCCGGCGGCTGCTCCAGTGCCCGGGCCTCCTGCGTGAGACACTGTTGGATTAGTCTGAGCGAGCATGCTCTGTGGCTGTAGCTGTAGCTCTGACGCTGTAGCCACTAAAACCACAACCAGGAAACAAAAACACTCAGCTAGGATTCCTTTGCTCTCAGGCAGCCTTCTTCCTGTAGTTCTGCAGATTTGGTGAATATTCTGATATCTGAAACTCTGCTGGTAGACATGAACATGGAGTTCATTTTGGAGAATCTTAGCTTGTGTTTAGTGGCTATAGTGGAATCAGCTGTGCCATGAAAGCACACGGTGATCCTGAGTGATCACTGCCTCACCGCTTCGTCCCGTTAAACCTCTCAGACCCTGACCTCACCTCAAACATAGAACATCTTTGTTCTGTTGCTTTTCTGCTGTAAAGTAATGAAGTAGAAATACTCTGTTCCCTTAATTAAGTAGAAATGTTGGCTATCTATACTTTACTGAAGTAATTATTTTTTTAGAGAACTTTTTACTTTCTACTCCTTACATTTTAAAAATAGACTCATTATTTTTGTTTTATTTAAGCTCATTTTCATTAATTTGTTTAATCCAGACCATTTCTTTCTGGATGCGGTGCTGCCCCAACTTGTTTCTCACCACATACCAGAATAAATCATTTTCTAAGATGATGCAAAGTTAAATGTGACGCTTTTTCCATCAGTTATAAAACTAAGAAAATAAAGTCTAATCATCCAGAATGTTCCTTTAATAGCGTAGAGCAGGAAAACTTCTGGCCTTAACTTTTTTTTCCTGCATTACTTTTACTTTTATACTTTAAGTAGTTTTAAAAATGTTTTTTTTACACTTTTACTGGAGTAAAAAGCTCTAACTTCTACAAGTGTTTTGAAAGAGTAGGATTTATATTTCTACTAGAGTGATATTCTCTAGTTTTCTCCTAACATGCGATCTTCCAGAATGACCTCTGACCTTTCGATGATCAGCACCTGACTGATTGATGCTAGCAGCTGATGTTCAGCTCCACCATCTAACAGATGTTTGACCGAGAGGCACCTAAACCCTGCTCCACTGCACTCCCTGTCCTCCACCCTGTCCTCCACCCCCCACCCCCCCAACATCTGAGCTCTTCCTTTGATGTACGGCACAGGACACGATGACTCAACACAACCAAAGCCATGGAGGATTTTATTGCTTCAGCTTTCATCTTTAGAAGCTGCTGCAATTAATTTAAGGACTTTTACTTCCTTTTTAATGTATTTATTTTGGAATAAAGTCCTGGTAATGGATCCTAATAGTTCCACTGAAAAGTCGACTCACTACATCCTCCAGGCTGAGGAGAAAGTTTATGAGAAAACACAAAGTGAGAATTTATACAATGTATAAAGTGCATGTAAAATAAATCTAGATGAATTAATAACTTTCAAACTAACAAACACCCTTTGGGAAAAACCCCCCAGAGGAAACCCATCAGGGAATTCCATTTTTAATACGTAAAGATAATTAACTAACAGCCTTTAAATGACAGGAAAACGCTTTCGCCACCAGCTGCTTTTCTTTTATCTCATTTCTTCTGGTTTATAGATATTGAACCTGATATTACTGGATGCCTGATTAAGGCAAAAAATTCACCAGAAGAAACAAAACTTTCCACTAAATTTGACTTTCCAAGTTTCTCAACAAAGAAACTGGAAGAATCTGTTTCTTCCGGCCGGAAAAAAAATGGAAAAATCCTGGGAAAAAAACAGCATCCAGAAGAAACTTCCAACGAATAGTAGAGATGATAAAGTGTTATGGGCTGAAATCGTGTCTCATTCAGTATGAATAGAACCAGAGAGAAGCCATAATATCATACAGACGTTACCTCAATCATTTTAGGACATTTTTGTTTAGATAATGTGTGGTTTGATCATCAGAGGAAGACGAGGATTGGCTGCCATGTTAGTAGGAAGTCATGTGGTTTTAGTAGGATGAGCTGATAGGCCCCTGATATGGAGTCAATTCAATTCAATCACTACATCAGTCATCACTACAAGACAATAGAACAGAATAGAAAATCCCTTTATTTTCCCTCAGTGGGGAGGTTCTGGTGTTTAAAGCAGCAAAAACATTGTAGAATAAATGGTCACACAAATGTGGACCTTGGAAAAATGTCGAAGAATAACATAATAGTGAAGAGTTAAAAATATATATATTACTACACTTTAAAGTGTTTTAAAAATGTAAATACTGATCAGCTGGAGAATAAATAACCAATATCCAGCTATGGACATTTTTACAGTAATTTGAAAATAGCAGCATCATCAGAGATGTGCAGAATGACAGCAGCAGGTTATTTAACTGACTAAGGTAGAAACTGAGCAGAATCATCCTGAATGGAAGAACTGGTTGAGGTTACTGGGAACAGTGGTGGTTCTAGAGTCTTCCAGCTGCTGGGAGGAAGGATCTGTGATAACGCTCCCTGGTGCATTTAGGGTGCAGCAGTCTGTCCCTGAAGGAGCTGTCCAGTTCAGCACCAAGCAAGAACAATGATTATGATTATGATTTCTAAGGGGAATTTAAGATCATAGAACTAGTTATGGTAGAACTCTAGATTAACAGAGGATTAAATGTCCGTTCCTCTAACAAAACAAAGCATGGGTTTACCTTGTAGTGACCGTGTCCTGTGTGAAAAAACCTGTCATGGCCGCTTTATCCGTGGCCTCCTCCTGTGGAGGCCAGTGACTGGGCAACAGAAACTAAGGTTAGCCTCTCTATGTGGATCCAAACCATGAGTCTAGGTTCTACTAGCAGCAGGTTGCCCATCACAGAGCATCATCTTCCTCGGCCGTTCAGCATGTTCCTAAATGAAGACTGGAACCAGGAGCAAATGGCTGGCAGAACTTTTCCAGAAAAAAACAGATTTATCTATAAAATGGTCTGTAGACGAATTAAAGGCATAGAGGGAGAAGAGCGGCCTGCTGTCGCTACCTGCTTCCAGTCTTTAGACCCTTGGTTTGTATTTGCTGATCAGGCTGAAGACGTCTGCCTGCTTCCTGTTTGCTGCCATCTTTAGACTTTACCACGATATGCAAACATTTGCATATTTTTATCATTCCTCACTAACTTTTTTTTTTTTTATCAGACTTCAGGCAATTGAAATATGTTACAACCTGTTAAAGCTCCATAAAACTCTGAGAATTTAGCTTTTTATGATATAATCTGTGGAATTAATATTGGCTAAGAAACGGGTTATTAATCCAAATCTAAATTTAAAATCTTAACATTTTATTTTCAAAGACTTACTTTAGCATTCCAGTGAAGTAGGTATTAGTGGTATTGTCATCATTGATGAACCTAATCCTCATTAAAACTCAGCTGATTATGGAGAAACATTGAAAAATAAAATGCTTCAGAATCAACATGTTTGTTAATGACTAAATATTATTTATTTAGAGTTCATTCTCCTGGTTCTCTCTGAAAAGTCTATTGCTATGTTCAGATCGCGCGCAGCAGAAGCAGCAAAAACGCACGTACAGATTCATTTTTGATGCTTGTACAAATCTAGGAAACTTTTTCAATTCAAAATGTCAGGAATGGTGTTGAGTTCAAGGTTCGAGGTCAAGGCTATTTCTGACATTTTGAATTGAAAAAGCTTCCTGGATGGGAAGCGAAGCATTTTCAAACTGGGAAACAAAGTCCAGTGGATTGATTTTATTTTATTTTTTGAATGATTATGACCTGGATGACTGAGAACCTTCACCAGCATATTGTACAAGTTTAGTTCTGCTCTAGCTGCGCGGTGGTAAAGTGGGTCTGATGCGCGGTGGGCGGAGCTACCCTATCCTTTCTCTGCCTGGAACAATGGCGGCTATATTAGCTGTGATCAGCGGGTAGAAAGTAGTTAGAATCTATGTTGAAGTGAGAAAGTCCTCCTGAAAACATGGTCTGTGCAGTCAGTTCATCCAGATTACCATCCTGCCTTCAAAGATTATTTCTCTGTGGGAGCCGCTCAGACCCCCACATACCGGCGCTGCGCTGTCACTGGGAATCCCCAGCAGCAGCTGCCTCAGGCCCGCTCGCCTCTCCAGGGTTTTCCCCTCCTGTTGGTGGCGGCTGGAAGTAGATTTTAGCGTTTTTCAGGTCTGTGCTACAAACTGCAGGCAGCAGGATAATAAAAGCCAACATATTCTGCCGGCAGGTTTCTACATTTGAAGTTAATTTAGGCGTTAATAAACTGTTTCAGAGGAGTGATCATAGCGCTCTGCATCAGCAGTGCTGCGTCTGACTCCCTGCCAGCTCCCAGATCAGCTTCTCTCATTGGTTGATGCGGCGCGTCCAGCAGCTGCTGCTTTTCGCATCAGAAGCTCGTGAGGCGCTGTTCCTGCTCTAAATGCGCTGCAGGACCTTTTTCTGCACCTTGACTTTGCATGGAAACTGTCTGCTTCTGCTGCCTCTGCTGCTTGCGGTCTGAACGTAGCATTAGCTTGTGTTTCTAGCGTTGCTGCTATGGTCTGTTGTCTGCCAGTAAAGACCCTTCAGCTGTAGATTGCTCTATATAGATGCTCCACATGGGAAGCTACAGTAGAGTGAGTGGCCCATCTATTAAAGGCATGCTCTCCTGGGTCAGTTTGGAGCTTGTTGATGTTCGTGCCTGAAGGCAGTTTGTCAGGGAAACATGCAGTAGTGGTCTGTTGAGTCATCTTCTGCAATATAATCCCTTCCTTTCTCCGCCTGCTCAGGTTTGACTACTGCAGGTTCATAGAACTAGATTATGTCCCCATGGAGTCGGGCTATATGGTCTCTATGCGCCCAACAAAAGGCTACGCATCGACCAAGTCGCCCACTAAAGGATACGCCTCTACCAAGTCTCCGGATCGCCGCTCCACCAACTCCCCCTCCACCCCACGGTCCCGGTCTGTGCTGAGTCCAAATTGGTGTTTTTAGCACGGGAATGTTGTTACTGTCTGATGACGTCTCAGAGTCAGAGAGACAGAAATGTTCTGACTGCTTGAACTCTTCCTGCCTTACTTTTCTTGCATGCTTCTTGTTCTTCCTCTCAATGTTTTGTCTGATTCTTTTTTATCTTTGATCCGTTCCCTTCTTGAAAATAACTGTAATATTATTATCAGTGCCTGAAGAAGTGTGTCCATGTTTGTCATATTTTCTGTTAGTTTCCTCTTAAATGTGAGTTGTGATGTTTTCTGTGCTGCAGTGGCATGCTGGTGACCATAATGTAAAGATCTGCGTTTCTGTGGATGTTGTGGCTTTGCTTACCTGGCCATTTAGTTCTGTGCTGGTATGTAAAGACTGGTTTCTCCTTTGCAGGCGAGCTCCAGCTGCACCCAGTAACAGAGATCCACATGGAAACGTCTCCATCAGCAGCGGCAGCAACTCCGGCTCGTGTAAAGGCAGCGACTGCAGCCCCACCAAAGGGTAAGCAGCTACTGAGAGTGATGCTCAGCGCCGGTCACCATAGCAACAATTCACAAGGTCATCTCAAGGAACTTTACAGAAACGAATCAACCAGATCATACAAAGTTTTCTATCTAAGGAAAACCAGCTGATTGCATCGACTCATTGACTCTTCAGCAATCCCTCACACTAAGCATG